GTGTGTGTGTGTGTGTGTGTGTGTGTGTGTGTGTGTGTGTTGCTCACAGCAACCCTACAGGGTGGGTGCTCTTGTGGACCTCATTTTATAGAGGAGGAAATAAAGCGATTAGAACCACCCAAGTGCTGGTACCCTGTAGCTGCATGGCATTCATACTGAGTGTCTGATGTCTGACCCCAGGGCCCTGGCTCTCAACCATGCTTTTATCCCCTGGTGGACAAATCATGTCAGGGAGCGCCTGTCTTGGTACACCATCTCTAGGACTTGTGTATTCCTTTGTACATATGAGGGGGACTCAGAAAACTTGGAAGTTGTTTATAAAACATTGTGTACTTATTCTTACATGTTGAAGCATCATTTTCTCTTTCTTGTTTGTTTTTGTTTTGTTTTGTTTTGTTTTAGTTGACGTCTCACTCTGTCGCCCTGACTGGAGTGCAGTGGCCGCTGCAAAAAAAATTTTTTTTTTTTTTAATTTATTGTAGAGATGAGGTCTCGCCAAGTTACCCAGGCAGGTCTCGAACCCATGGGCTCAGGCAATCCACTCACCTCAGCCTCCCAAACCGCGGATTACAGGCTGAGCCACTGAGCCCGGCTGCATCAGTCACTTTTTTTTTTTTTTTTTGAGTTGGAGTCTCACTGGGTCGCCCAGACTGGAGTGCAGTGGCCACTCCCGGCCACCGCAGCCTCGACCTGCTGGGCTCCGGCAATCCTTCCGCCTCAGCCTTCCCAGTAGCCGGAATCACAGGCACACGCTACCACACTCGGCTGATTTTTTGATTTATTGTGGAGATGAGGTCTCTCTGCCCAGGCGGGTCTCGAACCCGCGGGCCCAGGCAATCCACTCACCTCAGCCTCCCAAAGACGTGGGATTACAGGCTGAGCCACCGAGCCCGGCTATCAGTCACTTTCAACGTCCTCTCTGTCTGATGCAACACGCCTATCAAGACGCTTTTTCCATTGCCCAATAGTTATTTAACTTGTCCGTTTTGATGTCTTTTAGTGCCTCTGTCGGTTTTGGTCTCATCTCATCCACATCAGGAAAACATGTCCCTCTGAGGACTTTTTTCACCCAGGGAGACACAAAGAAGTCGCTCAGAGCAAGATGGGCTGAGTAGGGAGGGTGGGGCACAAGGGTTAGGCTGTTTGGGGTCAGAAACTACTGAACACTCAGCAAGATGTGGGCAGGTGTGCTTGTAAATCACATATCATGAAATGGGCAAACGTGTTGAAAGAGTCTCCCCAAAAAATGTACATTGCTCTCATTCATATTTTTGTGATTTATTGATTTTCAAACATCAGGCCCGTTGTTTTGCTCCCATGGGCTTTCTGCTTGGCGCCTCTGCAGTAATTTGGTTGAGATTGAAAGATTTCCCAATTGGTTCATAATAGCTCTCTTTATAGCTGACAAATTCATGTGCTTGCCACCTGAAATGCCAAATCCACAAGAGGAGAGGTGTGGTGGAAGGAAAACAACTTTATTCAAGTGCCAGAAACTGAAGAGGTGGCCAGGCTTATGCCTCCCAGGAGCCATCTCAGCTTTCAAACTGTGTGCAGGCCTTTAAAAAGGGGAAATGGCTGGATGCAGCGGCTGAAGCTTGTAATCCCAGCACTTTGGGAGGCCAAGGTGAGAGGATTGCCTGAGCCCAGGGGTTCGAGACCAGCCTGGGTAACTGGGTGAGACCTCATCTCTACAATAAATCAAAAAATAAGCCGGGCACGGTAGCTCGCGCCTGTACTTCTGGCTCCTTGGAAGGCTGAGGCAGAAGGATCACCTGAGCCCAGTGGGTCGAGGATGTGGTGGCCAGGAACGTGCCACTGCACTCCAGCCTGGATGACAGAGTGAGACTCCAACTCAAAAAAACAAAAAGTAATTTTAAAAAAGGGAAGCTGGGAAGAGGAGCATGTGGACGGAGCATAGGGTTCAGTTCTGCATGCCTCATTCTGGTGGCTGTCTTGAGTCATTGTCCTGAGTCATACCCTTGTCCAGGACCCCGCCCTTGAGTCACTGTCTATCTGGGGTGCTTCCTGGCATTGTCTCAGCCAAGCCAGATTAACCACCTTGAAGTAATCTCTAGGTGTGAGAGAGTTTCATGGTGGGTCTTCACGCCTGGTTTGTTTCAAGGATAACCCCTGGAATTTCTAAGCAAGCACATAGTTAATGAGTGTGTGCGGTGCAAGGGAGTGTCTTGTGGGAAAAAGCAGAGAAAAGGTAATTGTCCGGACATAAACTCCTTCCCCCAGGCTGAAGTGCAGTAGGACGGATCACGGCTCACCACAGTCTCGACCTCCTGGATTCAGGCAATCCTTCCACCTCGGCCTCCCATGTAACTGGGACTGCACGTGCATGCCGTCATGCCAGGCTAATTTTTTGACTTGTTGTACAGACGAGGTCTCACTATATTGCCCAGGCTGATCTCGAACTCTTGGGCCCCAGCAAGCAGGTGAATGGACAAACAGACCAGGGTGTAGGGGGACTCACAGATGCCCCAACAGCCCCTCCATATGAGGGCAGGAACAGAATTCCCAGCTACTCATGTTCTATCATGATTTCTATACTGACATTTCACTTTTTTTTGTAGTCCAATCTGTATGTTTCCAGCTGAGATTTTTTTTTTCTCCCATCACGTAGATGCTTCAAAAATCCTTTCCCACCAGCTAGTATTTTTACCTGTTACTTATATTTTCACACAGACATCCTCCACCCTTCTGGAATGTGCAAGGAGCACAACGTGAGGGAGGTCCCCCGCTGCCCACCCTACCTTGTAGGATGGCGTTCACCCTGTCCTTCATGTGTGGCCCCGTAGACACCATGCCCAGCTCTGCCTTGGCTGTACCTGGCCCCTGCCGGCTCGGCTCATTTCACGACCACACTGAGGCCTCTGCCAAACATCAGGCCCAGGCAGGAGAGGAACAGGAAAGGACACCAGGCCAGGGTGGGAGGCGGGTGATGAGTTACTCAGTGAACAAGCCACGGCCCCTCTGGGAGAAATGATGCTTTGCAGGATCCTCTGGGATGCCTGTTGCATTCGGATTTGGTTTCTGGGGTGTGTTTTTCGCCCACGGTGCAGTGGCCTCCCCTCTCTCACCGTGGCCGGCCTCCCCACATTCCCATGACCACAATGTCCACACAGTCCCTGGCCCCTGGACAAATGACAGAAAGAATAGGATGGGGACAAGGACCTGCAGAGGCCATGTTGGGCTCTGTCTTGCTGGAGGGTGATAACAGCGGCACTGACAACCTCCCTTCAGCCCTGTCGCTGAGCCCAGGCTGCCACAGTGACGTCACTCAGAGGATCCCACCGAATCCCCTTGGGGCAGGAGCCCCACGGAAAACCCACAGGTTGTCTGCAGCCCTGACACTAGGCCCACATTCCTGCCCTCTCCAGAGGCCTCTCAAATGCTCCTTTTATTTTTTGAGTTGGAGTCTTACTCTGTTGCCCAGGCTGGAGTGCAGTGCTCACGGCCACTGCAGCCTCGACCTGCTGTGTTCAGGTGATCCTTCTGCTTCAGCCTTCCAAGTAACTGGAACTGCAGGCATGCACCACCACACCTGGCTAATTTTTTGATTTATTGTAGAGAAGAGGTCTCACCAAGTTGCCAAGGCTGGTCTTGAACACATGGGCTCAGGCAATCCTCTCACCTCAGCCTCCCAAAGTGCTGGGATTATAGGTGTGAGTCACTCTGCCCAGCCCCCAAATGCTCTTGCCCAGGGCACCGCCCATCCCCAGGTGAGCTTGAGTTGTGAGTGGCTCTGCAGGGGACCCTCCAGAATGTCACATGGCCCTCCAGGCCTGTTGGATGCGGTGCCTCCTGGGGTACCATCCCTGCTGGGTCCAACATCTCCCCAGCTTTCTTTGGTGGTTCTCCCTCCCAACAGGCCTCCCAGGGAACCCACACACAAACAGGCCAAGACCAGAACTGCTGATGAGGTACTTTATTTGTAGTGGGGGGGATGAAGGTGGGAGCAGGAGAGGGTTGTAGCAGGAGGGCAAGTCCAGGTGGGCCGGGCTCTGTATTTGGCAGCAGGGTGGGCTCTGGGAGGGCGGACTTGGGAACTGCTGTGCTGGGAAGAGGAGCAGAGGTCAGGGAGCTGCGGTGGAGGGAGGGGCTGCAGGATGGAGCAGATGCCAGGCTGAAACCCTCCTCCATGCAAGCCCCACGTGGTCACTGCAGGGAAGCCATGGAACTCAGGAGCACTCCCTGCTCCTTCAACAAAGGCCTTGGTGGGTGTAGGGAGGATTGGACCGAGCGGGGACCAGGTGCAGGGGATGATGGTGCTGAGTTGACAGTGATGGAACTCCTGAAGGCCTGAGCTGCAGAAGAGCCTAGAGGGACCCTCACCTGGGCTGGGGAGAAGAGAGAGGGAGGCGTAGGTAAAAGAAAGGACGTAGGTTGGGCATGGTGTCTCACACCTGTAATCCCAGACCTTTGGGAGGCTGAGGCAGGAGGATCACTAGAGCCCAAGAGTTCGAGACCAGCCTGGGCCACATAGCAAGACCTTGTCTCTGCAAAAATAAAAAAAATAAGCCGGGCAGGGTGGCACGTGTTTGTAGGCCCAGCTACTCGGGAGGCTGAGGTGGAAGGATCACCTGAGCCCAGGAAGTTGAGGCTGTGGTGAGTCGTAATCATGCCCCTGCACTTCATACTGGGCAACAGAGTGAGACCCCAACTCGAAAAAGAAAGCAAAGAAAAAAGAAAGGACTTCCCAAGGTGCCAGGAATGATGCTCAGGCAGACTGAGATGATGACCTTCTGCCTGGCCCATGGGAATGAGGCATCGCTCCTGCCTATGTGAGAGGGCGCAGGCCAGAGCAGAAGGACTCTTGAACCCAGGGAACCCAGGACTCTGGGTTTTTCCAACATCCTCCCAAAGGGTCACTTACCTTACTCTTGTTCAGGGATGCAGCGTTCTGTAGAGACCAAGAGAAACCCAGGAATGAGAAAATGCCCTGGACAAGGGCCCAGACTCCAGCCCCACCCAGACCCTCTGATGACCAAGACTCAGAGCAGGTCCTTGGCATCCCCGTGAGGGGACTCAGGGGAAACAGGGGTCACAGGGAGCCCTGGAGGTCACAGAAAGACACAGTGAGGGGGGCGTTGGGCAGTCATCTTCTCACCCATCTGCAGGGGTATGGAGATGTCTTCCTCCTGGAAACCCTTGCTCCGAGTAAATTCCTTAAATTCTTCCAAAGCCTCTGGGTTCACGTTGGGATCCCTACCTGTGGGTGAGGTGGCCAGGTGAGCTGAAGTGAGGATCACTGCATGGCCGTGCAGAGAGCAGATGCCACAAGGAGACAGCCACCACCCATCTGACAGGTCCCCGGGAAGAGGGATGGCAGTGGGGACATCCTAAGCCACTGAAGCTCCAGAAGCCACCCTGCAGGGTCATATCCCTGACCTGGAAGGACCTTGTGTCCTGGGGCACTGGGCTGCCCTCCCATCCTGGGGGGTCCACGAAGGTCTCTGTCAAGACACCACATCCCTGCTTGAGGTGACCTTCCCCAAGACCCTAGGATGAGGCTGGGCGTGGTGGCTCACACCTATAATTCCAGCACTTTGGGAGGTCGAGGTGTGAGGATTGTCTGAGCCCATGGGTTCGAAACCAGCCTGGGCAATTTGGTGAGACCCTATCTCTACAATAAATAAAAAAATTAGCCGGGCGTGGTGGTGCATGTCTGTAGTTCCAGCTACTTGGAAGGCTGAGTCAGAAGGATCGCCTGAGCCCAGCAGGTCAAGGCCACGGTGGCCGGGAGCATGCCACTACCTTCCAGCCTGGGTGACAGAGTGAGACGCCAACTCAAAAACAAAAAGACCTTAGGATGTGGCACTTGACAGCCATGGTGTCCAGAATCCAGTTCACCAGTGGTCAGGCCACCAAGGGCCATGTCTGCCCCTGTCTCTGATGGTCCCTGCCCACCCCACCCAATTCCAACTTAAGTAACTTGGACCAGCCACCCAGGGCAGCAGGCTGTCCCTAACACATGAAGGCCAGCACAGAGGTGTCCCATTCCCTGGGTTCCAGCACACGGCTGATGCTGGTTCCACTGACTTCTGGAAGAAGAAACACCAAGGCAGGACGCGTGGGTCTCTGAGGGCCCCTCACCCATGAGCTTTGCAATGTGGAGCCGTCTGCCATGGCGCTGGTATTCACAGTAAAAGATGCAGAAGCCAGGCACCCGCAGCTTCTGAATGTGCACAACCTTCCTTTCCTTGTCTGTAGATGACAGAGAAAATGGCTCTCAGTGTCTCCATTCCCAGAGAAAACATTCAGGACACATCTAGGAACACTCTGGAAGGTTTTGGCAGTCACCCAGCCTCCCCTCCTGGGGAGCATGGACCTGACACGGTCCAGCATGGACCTGACACAGTGGAAAAGCCTCTTCCGGCAAGGTCCCAGCCTTGGATGGAGTCCCAGAGGCCAGAGGACCACTGAGGCTAGAGCTTAGCTGTCCCAGCTCCTAGCAGCTGGCCCACCCTGCTTCCCCGGCCCCTAACCCTCGGTTTCCCCGAGAGGTCAACCGCTAAGATGGCGCCGAAGGAAGGCGTGATCAGGCAGACCCCGTTGTGGACAAGCCTGTCACACCTGGTGTCTGATATTGGGCCATGAGTCCCCCAGGATAGGAGAGGTCGGCCCCTCCTGGGAGGTGGGCAAAACAGGGAGGCTCCCCCCCACCACCACCTGCAGAAAGGCACCCCAGGCGCTGTCCCACGGGAGGGGACTACACAGCCGGGCAGGACGCACAGGATAAGTATTTTTCAGGATCCTCAGTTCTCTCTATCAGAAATATCTTCAGGAGGCATTGATTGTTCTTCCTGGAAAACAAGAAGCACGTTAGCAGTGGCGCCCAGGACACACCTGGGTTGTCCTCAGCCCACCTGGTGCCTCACGCTGGCCAGGTGGCCCGAAAATTCCACTGCCACCCCCGCCAAGGTTCAAGACACTCTGGACTGTTTCCTCTCGGTCAGGAGAATGATTTGTACCACCACCCGCCACGTGTGGGACTGGGGAGGGGGAGAGAAGTGGTCCGAGGGCATCCACAGTGGACGATACTCACAGGAAGGTGACTGTGACCTCCATGTCCCCACCTTCCACGGCTTTCACTATCACAGGAAACACCTTCTTGGGCCTCTGCACCAATGGCAGGTTATCGTCAATGGCCACAGCGTCAACGTACCAGGTCCCGGTGGCCTAACACAGGCGGAGGCTGTGAGCCCATCAGGGGCAGCCCAGATGCTCCCCCACGGCCCTGGACACTGGGACCTGCAGTTGGAACCAGACACTCCTGGCATCCCAGCTGCAGCCCCCACAGGCAGGCTGGGATCTGCACTCCCACACCCCGGGATTGGTTACATACAGCTAGCCCAGAACTCGGGGCTCTCAGCCCACAGCCAAGGCAGAGAGTGTCTGCACCCCGCGGACCCTGAGGCCCAGGCACCCGATGAACCCTTCCTCCTGAGGACCCTCCCTATGACGCAGGACCCCCCAGGCTGCCCTCTGCTCTACCATTTGCCCCAGGAGGGGCCCTGTCTGTGGTGGAACACCAAGACCCCCATTCTTTGGCCACTCCAGGCCAGGAGTACAGGTTGGGAACCCGGCCTCAACAACACCTCCTAAAGCAGGGCCTCTACCTGCCCCCAGCCCAACCCCTCTCACATCCTCCTCCTCCTCCAGGGCGAAGGACAGGGCAGTGACCAAGCCGAGCACGAGGGTCAGGACCAGGGTCTTCATCTCCAGGGCTCTGTGCTCACAGCCTAAGTAGGTCACCTGAGTGTCGGACAAAGCTGTGCTAGCTCCACTGGTGATGGCCTTTATGCCGTCCCCCGGTCCTTCAGCCAGTGACTTGGGGCACTTGGCACAGACCGTACCCCTCCCCCGTGGGCCCTGGCCTGTCTTACATCCGGGAGGGCAGAGTGTTGTCATTGTTGAGATCTGGTGAGTAGCAATTAATTGCCATCCAGAGAGAAAAAGACACCTGATGCCATCCAATGTTTGCGCCATCCAAATGTGCTCACTCACAGGCAAGCCTGGGGGAGGAAGGGCAGGGTGACGGGTGCCCCTGGCGGTACTCCCAGCCACCGAGGGAAGGCCGATGGCATGTGGCACTCCCTCCCACCCCTGCGCCCTCCCAAAGCCGTGGCTGTGACCTTGGTCAAGTTCTCCGGGGGAGCTGGCATCTCCCCTCCTTCCTGCTGAGAGAGGGACAGAGCCTTCTGCATTTCACTGGGCTGCAGATACACGGTCGGCCATTAGCTGAGGCCTATTGTCCCCTAGAGGCCGAGCTCCAGCCTACTCTGGAAGCCCATCCTCCATTGCTCTTCCCCTGGCTGGAATGCTCCACGAGAGCTTCCTGAGGGTGGGAAAGGGCACCACATTATGTCTCAGGATCAGCTTAATTATCACCTCCTTGGACCAAACGAGGGACAACACCACCTCTCATACCCCAATTCACTTCATAGCCGGAGGACAGCTGTGTTTTCCTTACAACACTTGTTCTTTTTTTTTTTTTTAGAGATGTCTCACTCTGTTGCCCAAGCAGGAGTGTAGGGACACAATCGTCCTACCGGGCTCAGGCGGTCCTTTGTCTCAGCCTCCCGAGTAGCTGGGACTACAGGCACACGCCACCATGCCTCGCTAAGTTTTTTTCTTTGTAGGGACAAGGTCTTGCTCTTTACCTGGGCTCAAGCAATCCTCCTGTCTCAGCTTCCCAAGTAACTGAGACTTTAAGGCGCGTTTCACCACACCCAGCTAATTTTTTGATGTTTTTGTAGAGAGGAGGTCTCGCTATGCTGCCCAGGCTGGGGTTGAACTCCTGCCTCTGCCTCCCAAAGTGATGGGATTACAGGCGTGAGGCACCACACCTGGCCCAATTTTCCTATGTGTGTTCATCCCCAGCTCTTCTGTTAGAATTTAAGTTCACCTGCATCGTCAGCTTTGAACCCCCAGTCCCTCAAAACATACCCAGTGTCTCATTCCTTGGGATAAATGGGTGGCATGGGGCATCAAGAGACCACCCACTGGCCTATGTTCAGAATTTGCGACTGAGCTGCCCTGGGCACCTGGCCCTTCTGGCCTCCCCCGCCTCCTTGAGCAAGAAATTTGCCTACTCCCTTGCTGGACCTAGAATCCGTGGGCCTGTGTTATCTGCCCTGAGACCCACTGCTGGCCCTGGCTCTGTAGGGTCCCAAATTAGACACTCCCAAATGTTTGTTACATTTTTATTTTATTTTATTTTATTTTATTTTATTTTATTTTATTTTATTTTATTGAATCAGGGTCTCATTCTGTTGCCCAGGCTGGAGGCAGTGGCACACACTCATGGCTCACCATAGCCTCGCCCTCCTGAGTTCAAGTGATCCTTCCATCTCAGCCTCCTCCCAAGTAGCTGGAAATACAGGTGTGTGCCGCCATGCCTGGCTAATTTTTTTGATTTTTTTTTGTTAGAGACAAGGTCTCCCTATGTTGTCCAACTTGTCTTGAACTTCTGGCCTCAAGTGATCCTCCCACCTCAGCCTCCCAAAGTGCTGGGATTATAGGCATGAGGCACTGTGCCTGGCGCAAGTATTTACTAAATAATACACACTCTCTAATAACCCCTGGAGGATTGCAATGAAGGTGCTGGCATGATTCAGTGCTTGAACCTCAACATGGAAGGTGCTACCCACCAGAATCTCACCCTGGCTGGGGCGGGAGAGATGGCAGAAAAGTCCTAGGTCCAGGCTCTTTCAAGACCAGAGATTAGCAAACAGGCTAGAGATTATCTCAATGGTAAGAGTTTTCTGTTCCCTGTTCTTGTTACCTGTACCCTAGGCACCTTGTATTTCACTTGTGTTATGTGAATTACCGATCTAAATGCTTTACGATACTGGCACTTTTAACTCAATTCTTGAAAAAGATGGTGGAACAACATGCAGATGACCGAGACAGCAGGGTTGCCCCATCAGTCCTATGCTCATTGCAATTGGCATTCTCCGGGCGCCTCTCATTGTCCACGCATCTTGCCTATCCAGTTGGACCCTGGAAGTCCTCCAACTGTGTTAAGTACTGGTTGGGTTCAACTGGTGGTAGACACTGTCAGGAGATAGGATTGGAGGTCTTTGTCACATATGCAGTTAGCAAATATTTTTTCCCATTCTGTGGACTGTCTCCCCACCCTCTTGATGGTTTCTTTGCTTTGCAGAAGCTTTTCCGTTTGACAAGGTCCCACTTGTCTATCTTATCTCTTAGGGCATGGGTTTTTGGGGGTTTGTTCTGGAATTAGTTGCCTATTCTGACTTCCATAAGGGTGTCTCCTGCATTTTCTAAGATTCTTAAAGTTTGGGGTTTTACGTTTAGGTCTTTGATCCATTCGGAGTTGATTTTTGTATATAGTGATGGGTAAGGGTCCTGCTTCATTCTTCTGCACATGGTCAGTCAGTTTTCCCAGCACCATTTACTGAACAAGTTCTCCTCTCCCTAGTGGTTGTTGGTGGAGACTTGGTCAAAGATGAGTTGGTTGAGAAATTGAGGTTTTGTTTCCGGAATCTCTATCCTGTTCCATTGGTCTATATGCCTGTTCTTGTACCAATACCAGACTGTTTTGATTATTGTAGCTTTATGGTCAACTTAAAGTCTGGAATCTTGATACCTCCTGCTTTGTTTCTTTTGCTAAGGATTGTTTTGGCTATTTGTGATCATTTATGTTTCCATATGAATTTCTGTTTTGTTGTTTCCAGGACTGAGAAGAATGATGTTGGTAACTTAATGAATATTGCATTGAATCTGTAGATTGCCTTTGGTAGGATGGACATCTTAACAATGTTGATTCTTCTAATCCATGAGCATGGAATATTTTTTCATTTGTTTGTGTCATCTTTAATTTCTGTGAGCAGTGTTTTGTAGTTTTCATTGTAAAGATCTTTCACTTCTTTGGTTAGGAAGATGCCAAGGTATTTAATTTTGTGTGTGTGTGTGTGTGGCTATTAGAATGGGATTGCGTTTTTATTTGGTTCTCTGCCTGTTTGTTGCTGGTGTATAAGAATTCAACTGTCAAGCCAGCGATGGTAGCTCCTCCCTGTAATTCTAACACTTTGGGGGCAGAAGCAAGTGGATTACCTGAGCTCAAGGATTCGAGACCAGCCTGAGCAACATAGCGAGCCTCATCTCTAAAATAAATAGGCGTGGTGGTACATGCCTAAGGTTCCAGGTACTTGGAGGGCTGAGGCAGAAGGATCACCTGAGCCCAGCAGGCTGAGGCTGCAATGGCCGTGAGCGTACCACTGCATTCCAGTCTGGGCGACAGAGTAAGACTCCAACTCAAAAAAAAAAAAAGAATATGACTGTCTTTTGCACTTTGGTAGGCCAAGGTGAGAGGATTGCCTGAGCCCAAGGGCTTGAGACCAGCCTGAGCAAAATGGCGAGACCTCATCTCTACAATAAATTTTTTTTTTTTAATTAGCTGGGTGTGGTGGTGCCCGCCTATAATTCCACCTACTTGGAAGGCTGAAGCAGAAGGATCACCTGAGCCCAGCAGGTCGAGGCTGCAGTGACCATGAGCATGCCACTGCACTCCAGCTTGGGCAACAGAGCAAAACTTCAACTCAAAAAAAAAACCACACAATGAACATAAATACTTTTTTTTTTTGAGTTGGAGTCTCACTCTGTCACCCAGACTGGAGCGCAGTGGCATGCTCCCGGGCACTGCAGCCTCGACCTGCTGGGCTCCGGCGATCCTTCCGCCTCCGCTTTCCAAGTAGCTGGAACTACAGGTGTGCACTACCACGCCCGGTTAATTTTTTTGATTTATTATAGAGATGAGATTTCGCCAAGTTGCCCAGGGAGGTTGCAAATCCGCGGGCTCAGGCAATTCACTCACCTCGGCCTCCCAAATTGCTGGGATTACAGGTTGAGCCACCAAGACTGGCCCATAAATACTTTTTAAAAATCATGTTTAGGCTAGGACTCAGCAGCTTCATCCAGAAGCATCATTCCAACAGACCCACTCCCACACACGTACCAGAAGATATATCCTATGACAACTTTACTTAAAAATCCTGGAAATACCTTGAAATCCATCAAAATAGCAAAGACAAAATAAAAGTTCATAATTTCATGAGATGATATAATATGTGAGACTTTGAAGGAATAAAATAAATCTATTCATTTGTTCAATGATTTTTTTTTTTTTTGGCATGCTTTCTACATGCTAAGCATTCTTCCAGGCACAGAGGATGTATCAATGGGTAAAACAAACAAATATCCTGCTCTTGTAGAGTTTACATTCTAGGCATAGGGGACACAGGCAAAATAAATCAATGAATTATGGTGCTAGCCATCAATGGCTTGCCTCCAGCCCCATGTGCAGCCTTCATTGCCCATTCTATGGTAATGGAGCTGGGCCCAGTGGGTGTTTCTCTTATGCACCTGGCACCATGCTAAGCTTTGTGTTAGCAGAGACTTAGGAAGAAGGGCCTTCTCACCTGGTTCCATTTTTTGCCTTTTCCATCTTATTCTTTTGCTCTGTACAGCCGGCAGTGGCACAAGTTGGGAACATTAAGGGCATTCACCACACTGAATTCGGGGGACCCCCAGGGATGGCTTCCTATCGAAATTTCAGGGTACCCTCACAAGTGGATTCCCAGTGAATTGTGTAGGCTACCCAGCCCAGACCCACCTGCCCCTGGGAGAGAAGACAGATGGCCAGCCTGCCTTTTGCTATCTGCTGGCCTCTGCTTCGACCAGGGACCACCTCT